GGAGGAGAGGCTGCCCGTGGGGAAGCGGTCCCGAGCTCTGGGGCCGCGGGTGGAAGAGAAAATGCATCGTCGGAGATTGGTCAGGAGAGGAAAAACACACACAGGCACAATTCATCCTCGATTCCCCAGAAGATGTGGGGAAATATGGGAAGTGGGGGGGAAGACAGAAACCCAGAAGCTATGGGAAAATATGGGGAATATGTTTTTATTTGTGTGTATTTATTTGTGTGTCCTTGGGCCCCGTCAGTGAGTGGGCTGTCCTAGCCGTGGTTCTGTGCGCGCCGTGCGGTGCTGCGTGTTCGCTCCGCGGCGCCACGGGTGGTGTGGTGGGGGCCAGAGCTCGGCTTGGTCGTGCGGTGCTGTGCTGAGCGGTGCCGGGATCCTGGACCAACCAGATGGTGTCGTTAGGTGTTCGCTTATGGACCCCTTGTTGAACGCAGCCGTCCAGCTTTTCGCGCCGAAAGCCGCTGGAAACCGCCAAAGACCGCCGGAAGCCGCCGAAGACCATGAGAAGACCACCGAAGACCGCCGAAGGCCACCCGAAGACCGCCGAAGACAGCCCAGGAGCATGGGCAACAAGGGATCCATGGTCGAACACGAAGGGGTCGGTGGGTTTGCGGGCGGGGGCCCCGCCTCGCCGCGCCGCCGCAGCTCTTGGCGGACGTCCCAGAGTGGCGCGGCGGAGGCGCGGACGACCTGGCCTCAGCGGCTCCGGTCGGCTCGTTCGAGGCTGGATCGGCGGCGAGCGAGGAAGTCGGCGGCTAGCGACCCGGACCTCGCGCTGTGACAAGAATCACGACGGGGGGGTTTTCGCTGTTCTCGGCCTCTGGAGGCCCTTACCAGGCCGCGGGACCGGTCCTGGGGAAGGGGCTGAGGTCTCTGGGGGTCGACGCTGTGAGCCAAAAACGCGACGTCGGGGGTCCGGGGAGGGGGGAAGTAGGAAGGAGAAGGCTTTCTCAGAAGGCGGCGGGGTTTCTCCGAAGCCCTCGCGCCCTCATTCGGGGAAGGGTCGGCCTTAGTGGGCCCCGGAAACGGCAGGGCCATTTTTTCACCGTCTCCGAAAAGTGTCCCTTGAAAATGGGAGCGGCAAAAAAACGGCGACCGGAAACGGCAACAAAAACGGCTCCAGGATTGGAGCCGGAGCGGGAACCCGTAAAAGAACGGCGACGGAACAGGTAAAAAACGGCGTCGGAACCGGCAACAAAAACGTCGAAACGGAACCGGTGAAAAACGGCCATGTCGTTCCCAGGGCCCACTGAGGGCTCGGCAATTTTCTCGGGGGGCCGGGGGACTTCCGAGCCTGCTGAAGAAGCCCGCCCCTCCTCACTTCCCCCCCTCGCTCGCCGCCGAGGAGCGTCGGGTGCAGTGGCCGGGACGGGCAGCACATGGCGTTCATGTTGGAATCTGAGCGGCCCTGACACGCATGCGTTGAAACGCAACACGTACCGTGTTCAACAGAAATCTCATGGCGCCAACATCGCAGAGCGGATTTCGTGAGGAAAAATTGGGATGGGCCCGTATGTTCCTGGAGAGCTTCTTTCCGGATTTCGAAGTCATTTAGTGAGAATTCTTGTGGCCGGGAATGAAGATTACAACATATTCACGTGATTATCACTTCGTTTTTCGCTCGCCGCTTCGGGGTTTGGCATTGACAGGGATCCGCGCAAAAATTCGCTGCAGCTCGTCTGCAATTTGCAGCGACAACTCTCTTATGCACGTGTTGGCCCACGCCACGTTTTGGCAGACGTTTCGCGCCAGACATATACGTTCTCAGTCTGCGTGCGGAGCTCCGTGTCGACACGCTACGGGTTGCGTTTTCCGTATCGTGGCAGCTTAGACTGGACAGGTTTCGCTGTGGCTTGGCATCGCTCGGACATGTGCATTTGTTTCGGCGGGGACCATCGAGGAGCATCTTTGAGAATTTGGCAAAACAGCGTACGAAACCGATACATGCACCGGGAATGGACGTCCGAGCGATGGCAGGGTGTCGGTGTCACAACACATGTTGTCCGCCCAACGGCGAACGTGTTCTGCCCAACTGTTGCCGTCAACCCCTATCGACTCTAGCCCCGATTCTTGACGCTTCGCGTATCCCCACCAGCCGTTGCAGCCCCGGCCAGCCACTGGTTTCGGATACGATGAACGACACACCGGCCCCCCCCCTGGCAGCGGTGCGGTCCGTGGAATGAGTGCTCTGTAGGTACTTGCCGTTCCCCTGCTCTCTCTGTGGTCATATTCAGCCCTGACTGCGCTCCAGCGCCTATGAGCTGGCCGCGGCTGCAGCGTACCTCGGCGACCTTCGGCCGTTACCCGCTAGGCGGCAGCCTACTGGCGCTTGGGCCTGCGTGTCCTCTTCACCGCTTCCTGGCCTGTCACTGGTTTCGGAATCGGTGGCTGACACACCGGCCCTCCCCTGGGCAGCGGTGTGGATCGTGGAGTGAGAGCTCTGTAGGTCCCTGCCGTTCCTCTGCCCCTGTCTTAGCCGACCCCGCGTACGGCGGTGGGACGGACTTCACGCTGAGTGGTTCAGCCTCAGCGTGTCGCTTCGGTTCTACCTGCCCGCTTTCGGCTAGGAGAGCTGCTCGGAGCTTGGCGCCGTCATGGCGACTCCTCCGTTGCACTGCACTGCGGTCTGCTTCACTTCGGTGTGGCTGGCGGCGTTCGCCTTAATGTGGAGCTTTTTGCTCACTGCATGTGCACACCACGCATTTTTTGCGAATTAGCCTCGCACCGTGACCCGGACGCCGCTTCCGCTCCCTGTCCGTTGCTTGGGAGCCGCCGACCCAAAAAGTATCCCCACCAGCCCGGTCTTCCTCGTCAGGGACGTGATTGGCTACTCGAATTGCCACCTGGTGCTGCACGTCGCCTGGATGTACCTCCAGGCGGGCGCCCTCCATTGAGCGGCAGCGAGGCTCGTCTCCTGTTAGCCTCTTCCCCTGCTTGGTCTTGTTTCCTTTTCGCCCTTCCTTTTCCTTTGCGCTAATTTAGGCCGTTGCTAGTCTGCAGTTCCCTGGACGCCGCCCAGTCTTTTCTTCGCCGCGGTCGCGATCAAAAGTATCCCCACTAACCCATGCAGGAACGATGCCCAGGCGAGCTGGCTTGATCCGGGAAGTGAACAAGGAGTCCTCCAACCGTCAAACCGAATCTCATGATCAGCCTGAGCAGACCCAGGAGTCAACCATACATGTCTTCACTGGTCTGTCGATATGGGAGAATTTGGATCATCTTGGGGTCCTCTCGGGGCCATTTTGGAGGTCGTTCGGGTTTTCTTGAGGCCATTTTGGGGACCTTAGGGGCCCTCGTGCGGTCATCGTGGAAGCCATCGATCAAAGATGGACGGCATCTTAAACTGCGCCCCCCCCGTCGGAGCCCTCAAATTTGTTTCTTCGAGCTCTCTTGGGCGCTTTCGGTGCCGTCTTCGAGCACTCTTGGGCTCCTCTTAGGGCTCTTTTGGGGCTCTTTTGTGCCACTTTTGAGCCATCCTGAAGCGTCACAAGCCAGTTGGAAGCGACAGTGCGAGAAGGCAAGCAGTATTGATTTCTCAAAAGGTTTTGGAGGATTTGGGAATCTCGGGGGCGTCGTTGTTGGGAGACTCCGTGCTCACTTCGAGCCGTTTTGGGGCGATCTTTGGGCCTCTTGGATGTATATTGGAGGTGATCTTGAACCATCTTGCGCCATCTTGGCCCACAAGCCTCTTCAGGAAGCCCCCGAGACGTGAGCACCCGTCAAGAACTAACGGTTTTCAATGATTTTAGTTTGAGCGAAGGAGGGTCTTAATTAGCGTCCCCCCATCGGTGCCCTTAAATTCGTCTCTTGTTGCAGTTCCGAGGCGCTTCTGAGGCCGTGTTGGGGCCGTCTTGGAGCTCCCTTGCGCCCCTCATGGGGCTTCTTGGGCCATTGGAACCATCCCAAAAGCCACGCATAGGCGAGACGGCAAACACAGCGCTGTTTGCCCTTACGTGTTAGAAGGCTGTTGGCCTCTCGGGGGCGTCCTTGGGAGGCTCCGAGGCCACTTGGGGTCGTCGTTGGGTTGTCTTGGGCCCTCTTGTAGGTATGCTGGAGGCTATTTCGAGCCATTCTGAGCTACCTTGTGCCATCTTGGAGGCCATCTTGGGCTGTCTGGGCCTCTCCTGGAGCCACCTCCGCTAAACCACCTACGCCCTCAGGGCCAGTAGTATTTTTGAGGTGCTCATCCGTCCAAACCCAGTTCAGGATATCATGAACGAGGATCGGAGAGGAGGGTTGCAAGGTCCTGAAACGCGTTTTTGCAAGAACCGCCTACGAAACATGGCTTGCCTTACCAAGGAGACGTGACCGGTTCCGAGGCTTAGTTCTCTGTGCTTTTCGTTGTCCAGGAGCGCGATTCTGACCGAATCCCCACAAGGGGCCCGCCATTGCTGCACTCAGATGCGCGGCGAAACAGCAGTGAGACAGACATTGTAGTGAAACTTGAATGTTGGATCATCAAAGGAGTCAGCGATGGGCTGCCGATGGGGCGGCTGTGCAAGGCGAGATGCGCTACCGAGAGGCTCCTTCGGGAGGCATGCCGCGACCTCCCGCAAACGATCCACCAGTGAGACACTGTAGCTGCACGGTCGAGATGCCAAAGACCGTGGCCCGATTATGATCTCGCAGGAGCCCGCGAGGCACGCACAGGTGCCTGACCTAGTGGTTGGGGGACAATTGTTGGGGCGCTCCCAGGGAGGACGGGGAGGAGGAGTGGATCTGGAAGCCCACTCTGGATGCTCTCGTTTCAGACATGTTTATCTTGGTTCTGGATGGCGCCTGATAGTTGTGGAGTCGTGTTTCCTTGGCGGCCGACTGATCTTTCGCTGAAAGCGTGCGAGTGTCAGAAAAGCCGCCGCAGCTCAACTCATACACTGACTCAGGAATCGGAGCTCCCCGCGCTCGCAGACGCCAGAACGGCGCTGTGTCCCCTCCCCGCACCGCAGGGCGACCAAAAGGTCCAGGGTTGCTTCAAGTGTCCCTGGCTCAAGGCGTCCCTAGGATTTCCCGGGAAGATTGGACGGCCTCCAGGGCGTCCCTTGCGAGGCCCAAGGGACCCCAGATGCCTCACAGTGGCGTGAAGAGCCGAGGACACCTCGGGCCAGGGACGCCTTTGCCCCCCCCCCCCCGAAGGGGGGCCACCCCCAAGCCGAGGCGTCAGTGGACATCGAGGCGGCCCTGTTGCAGAAAGATCCGCCGCGCCCGGGGTGGCTGCCTCGGCCGCCTCGGGCCCGTGCTGCCGGGTTCGCTTGCGGGCGCCGGGGGGGGGTGCACCAGGTGCAGTCGCCACAGGGGGTCCTCCCTTGCCCTCCTCCCGCGCCTCCTCCCCCACCTCCGTCTCCTTCTGCGTGGCATGGTGTGGAGCCCGAAGATCAGTGCGTTGCCGGCAAAGTCCGGCATTACGTTGTGCATACGCGTGTTGCTGTTGTTGGTCACAGGCGCACTCTGGTGCTCGTGCGACGCTGGTTGAGGCGCTCGCAGGCGACAGTGGTGCCCTCAAGCATATAGTGGCGCTGGCTGGTTTTGGTGGTACTGGCAGATGTAGCATATGGTTGTTGCATACATGTGATGCTGGTGTTCGCAGGCGCAGTGTGGTTTCGGCAAGCACGCCGTGGTGCTCGCAGGCTCATTATTACGGTGCTCGCAGTAATCGTGTGTGGCCGCGGGTTTTTCTGGTAGTGACAAGGTCCAGCATACTGTTGGCATAGACGTGCTGCTGTTGTTCGCAGGAGCACGGTGATGCTCAAAAGCACGCTGTGGTGCTCGCAGGTTATTGTGGTGCTCGCAAGCGTTGTGGTGGTCGCAGACTGTCGTGATGTCGGCAAGTTTCCGCATACTATTGTCGTGTGGTGTTGCTGCTGTTGCTCGCAAGCTCATGGTGGCGCCCACAAGCACGCAATGGTCAACTTTGCCGTGGTACCCTCAGGCAGTTGTGTCCAAGATGGCCCAACGAAGATCCAGTACAACTTAATCCAAGATGGTTTCCGAGATGTCCCAACCTGTCTCGACATGTGTCCATTTAGCTTCCAACATGTCTCCAATCAACGTTCAAATGCCGCCCTAAGGCGGCTTCAGGTTGGCACGGGGCCTCCCAATGCCATCCCCGAGACGCCAAAATCGTTCAACATCATGTGTTCTTCGTTGATTTGGGCGTCATCCCTCGCCCTGTCGCGTTGATAATTCTGCTAGGGCCTTCGGATGGGGCCTCCAGCAATGCTGACTGCTGCGGACTCCGCTTTGCTGCGGGCTTCTGTCGGAAAGAAGTACATTCGCCCCTGGTTCTGTCCGTGTCCGAGCAGACTCTGCGAACCTCGAGACGGTGCATCACGGCGTGCACAACTCATTCCAGTCTCGGCCCTCCTCGCCCCGTTTGTTCGTGGCTCGGGTCCTCCCCCCACCTTTTGTTCGCGGGCGAGACACATCCACGGCCTAGCGGGCAGGGCCCCTGGGCCGCGACCCCGTGGACACGGGATGCCTCTCGCGCAAAGCGTGTCCATTCGGCCGCGTATCTACGGAACCGCAATCCACAGCGCGAGGGCATGGATACATGGATAGTCTAGAGGCCTCTCATATTGGGTCCGACGAGAGCTGGCCAGATTATCGCGTCGCATTGCTCGCCGATGCAGCGGCGATGCGGCACGCTGTGGGGCCCAATTTGTCCACGCCGACGTCGCCGATGCATCTCCGACGTCGCCGATACATCGGCGATGCACCGGCGATGCGGCACGATCCTCCAACCCACATCTAGTCATCTAGTCGGACCCCATCTAGCCGGCCTCCAGTTACGTTTGACGTTCATGAGCTGTCCACGTCCATTTCCCGCTTTCCGGCCCTCCGCCCGAGTCGGGCGAACCCACGGGCTCGTGCGACACCAGGCGGCAGGGCGCGCGGCGTGCACGGCGAGAGCGGTGCCGCTGCCGCGGAATTGGATCGCGCGGCGTGGCCACTTCTCGCGTCATCTGGGTCTAGGCCTCCCATGTGCCCATGTGGTTTCGGAGCAGATGTGGTCGGAGGATCGCGCCGCATCGCCGATGCATCGGCGATGCGGCTCGATGTGGAGCTCACGCCGACGTCGCCGATGCACTGCCGACGTCGCCGATGCATCGTCGATGCATTGCTGATGCGGCGCGATCCTCCGACCCCGTCTATCCGGTCCGACTCGGGCTGGGTCGCTCCAGGGCGTTCCGCGGAGCGCTCGCAGAGCCGTCCCCAGAACGCTCGGGAACCGCCGCTGCGCCCGAGAAGCACAGCCTCCAGAGCCGCCAGGCCTCAGGGGTTCCTGATTGCTCGGTCGTTGCTGAAGGGGGGTGGGTGGGTGAGTCGGGGGGGGGGAGGGGCAAAAATGGGAGGTGACGAAGGGTGCACCCTTCGTGCACCCCCTGGGCCCCAGGGGGCCCCTTGTGGGCCTTCGCAACGCCCCTCTCCGGCGGCCCGCGACCCGCGACCCGCCACCACTTCCCCCCCCCCACGCGTGAAGCACCGCCAGCGTGTATCCCCATCCGATTCTGCCCCGATCTTGTCTTCTCAGGCGATCGCAAACATGGATCAAGGGGGCGTGGACTAGCGACGGGTCCCGTTTCCATGGGAAACCGCGGACTTCCGCCGCCGAACGGGTTTGGCACTGGCCGCATTTTGGGGAGGGCACCTTCCCCGATCCATGGATTTGGCGACCGCGCGCCAAATCCATGGATCGCTAATACCTGCTTGCGTGCCCCCGAGACAGGATCGGAGGTCGGAAACTTGAGCATATGCATTACCAGTGGCGGGCTGTTTCTCAAGCCCAGGACTCTGTGAGGGTCGGGGACGACTTCGGAGTGGTGTGGCGTGGAAACTTTTCCCCCGCTTTCCTCAGAGCGTGAATTCCCTACCCCGCTTTCGCTTCCAGGCAAAACCAAGTCATACCACGCGCCTCCTCGTCAAGCGGCCTGACCAGTACAGGCCGTAGTTTGGCATCGTTTGGTATCTCTTGGAAGCGAGGGTGGTCAAAAACGAGGTAGGTTTGTTTTCCCCCTAATTCCCCGGGGGAAGCGACGACAACGCACACACCAGGATCCCTGCCTGCACCGGGACCTTCGCCCCATTATGGGCCGAGCGGGGAGGGCCCCTCGCAGGGGGCCCGGGGGGGGGGGGCGGTCGCGGCCAGGGGCGGGCCTCGGCCCCCGAGGCCGCGCGGCACCGCGCCCACCGCGCCGTCCGGGCCCGAGGAGCCCGGCGACCCCGCCGCGCCCTCTCTCGCCCTGTGGGCGCGGGGCCGGGTCGGGTGCTCTCTGCGGGGCCCCGGGTGTACACACCACCACCACGTCGACTCCTCCTCTCTCCTCTGCCCCCCCTCCTCCTTTCCCCCTTCCTGGGGGAGGGCGGGGGTGAGGGAGGTGGGGGAGGGCGGGCGTGAGGGAGGTGGGGGAGGGCGGGGGTGAGGGAGGGCGCGTTCTTTACACTCAAGCAGTGGCGAAGCGTCCTGGCGTGCCGATAGGCCTACCAAGCAATGCTCTGAGAACCTCTTGTGGTTTCCACGAAACGTTCTGAGAACACTTCTGGCCTGGACTGTCTTGTTTTCACACGTCGGGAATACGTTCTAAGAACATTGTTTTTGTTCTTACAACATGTATGGGTTCCAAGAACACTTCGTGGTAGGCCTATAGAAATGCCGGGACGGTCGGTCCCTGCTCAATTTACGGGGCCCAGGTATACACACCACCACCACGTCGATTCCTCCTCCCGTCTCTGCCCCCCCTACTCCTTTCCCCTTTCCTGGGGGAGGGCGGGGGGTGAGGGAGGTGGTGGTGGTGGCGTACATGTTTGTAGGGGAATAAACAATGACATGAGCATAAAAACTCGGAGGTCCACCCGGATTTCTCGGTTCCGCGCTGGGCCCCCCGGCGGCGCCGCCCCTGGCGCGCTCCTCGCGCAAGGGCGGGGGGTCCAACGCCGATCCGAGAGATCCGCGCGGACCTACGAGTTTTTACGCTTCTATCATTGCTCATTCCCCTGCAAACATATATACACCACCACCACCTCCCTCACCCCTGCCCTCTCCCAGGAAATGGGAAACGAGTATGAGGGTAGAGGTGGCAGGAGGAGTCGACATGGTGGTGGTGGTGGAGGTGGTGGTGGTGGTGTATATTCTTGGGGCCCGCATTCTTGATCGCTGCCGCTCCATGCTTGTCCTTATTCTGAGTGAATTTCTTCCTGTCGCACGTCGATGCCTGTCGAGAGGGCGGGCCCGGCGTTTCGCCGGAGGCTTCCTTGCCATGTGTGACCTTGAAGCTTAGAAATTGAGAACAGCTTCGCAGATGGAGGGCGGGTGGTTTTCAAAATGAGGCTCTCGCTTTAGCACCGCGCTCAATCGTCTTGACGTATTGCAAGAGCTTCGTGGATCGAAGTCGGGTCGTTCTCAAGATGCGGCTCTCGCCCGAGCGCCGCGCACATTTGCCTTTAGAGTTTGCAAGAGCTTTACGGATTGATGTCGGGTGGTTTTCGAAATGTGGCTCCTGCCTAAGCGCCGCGCACATGTGTCTTGAATGATTGCAAGGGTTTCGCGGATCGAAGGCGGCTCGTTTTCAAAATGTTTTTTTTCGCTTTAGCGCCGCGCACAGTCGTTTGAAAGTTCGCAAGGGCTGCACAGATTGAGGGTGGTTCGTTCTCAAACTGTGATTCTCGCCTCAGCGACGCGCACATCCGTCTCAAAGTTTGCAAGGGTTTTACGTATTGAGGGCAGTTCTTTTTCAACATGTGGCTCTCGCCTTATCGCCGCGCGCATTGGTTCTAAAAGTTCGCAGAATGTTCTTTCATGTTTACGGCCAACGTACCAGAGAAGGTGTGTTGGACCGACTCATTATTGTCAGGGCGTCACTGTTACGTTGGTTCGCTGTGTTGAAGTCCCAGGAGTGGCGTTCTGGCACGATTCAGGATCGCCAAAACCTCACAATCAGGTTAACTTGTGGCGTTTCAGTCCTGAGAACCGTTTTTGGGCACGCTTCAGGATTTACACGGTCGTTTTCAGCTGGGCAGTTCCCCCAGTGGATGTCAATTGTTGTAGGGGCCTATGACGAGGGAGCTTGGAGGGAGGTTGTACTTCCAACATCGCTGATGAGTCTTAGATTTGCCCTAGTCCTCCTCGTCCTCCTCCTCCTCGTGCTCCTCCTCCTCATGCGGGGGCGGATGGACGACTCGTGGACGCATGCGCGTCCTTCGTGGTTGGGCCTGTCGTTTCGGGTGCCCCGACGCACGCGCCGTCCACGACTTCCGCCACTACCTCACGTGCGCCTGCCTCTCTGGCGTCTTCTTTCCTCCCTCGACCCCGGCACATGCCGACCCACCACGGTGGACTCTCGGCACCTTCTAGCCTCCGTCTGGCCCGCTGGGTCGTCGCTCCGCCATTCGACGCGTCGCGTTGTTGCACTTCCATAACGAGGTCAAGGCTTGGCGAAGAGCGCCCGCCCGCCGCCGCCGTGGCTCGTGCCATTCAGGCTGCTGTCTTCGCGTGCCGAGAGTGAGCTGTCAGCGCCAAGCCCGTTCACATACTGTGTGCGCCTCCTCTCCCGCTCCTCCGTTCTCTTCCTTCTCCTCTCCCCCCCTCGCGTCTTCTGCAAGAGAGGCTTCGCGACGATGTCTTGCCTGTGCCATTCCAGCGGAGGCCCACGCCAAGAAATACCCTGCTTGCCTCTAGGGTGCTCTGGGTTTCTTGGGGTTCGATGGTCTTGCGATGGGAAGCGTGACGCCCCTCCCACAAAAAAATAACTTCCTGGGGTCTCAGGGTTGGATTTTTTGTGGAAGGTTTCTCGTGGTCGGGCCCCTACTGTACCGAGGGCGATGTAGAGCTCAACCCTTCGTCAACGCCAGTTGTTGCGATATCGAATGTTGTCGCTCGAGTTCACCAGCCGCTCATGCAGGACACGGGTCCTCAGAAGCGCCCAGCCCTTTCCATGCTCCTTGGTGGTCGGTTACCCTCGCAGCCCGTCCCCACTCCATGTCCGGAGGCTCGTCTCTGTGACCGCGTTCGAATGTCGAGGTATCTAGCCGTCGCGGTCGACGAACCGGCGCCCCGCAGCGTACTGGCCCTTCTCCTCCTCCTCCTCCTCCTCCTCCTCCTCCTCCGTCGTCGTCGTCGGCGTCGTCGTCGTCGGTCTATGGATTATCGCTCCCTCGGCTGATCGATTTTGAAGTTGCGACCCTCCACGGTTTCCCGGACCCCTCTGCTGTTGTGCGGTGGGCCAAGGAGTTGGAAACTCGGGAGCGGTCCGAATATTTCGAGCTTTCAGAGGAATCTGATTGAGCTCCTTTCGCGGCCGTAGCGCCGAGCGTTCGGGTCCCGACCCGTTCGATTTAGTCAGCACCCTTAGCACCCTCCTCCTCCTCCTCCTCCTCCTCCTCCTCCTCCTCCTCCTCCTGCTCCTCCTCCCCACGTCGAGTGCAGAGCACGTGCCCTACTTTGGCGCTAATCGTCAGCCGTGCTGCCTGTCCCGCCGCTGATTATCATCGGCCGTCGGGCGCTTCGGAGACACGCGTTGCCCCAATATATTGTCACTCCTCCCCCTCCTCCTCCTCCTCCTCCTCCCCCTCCCCCTCAGCCGCCGTCCCGGCCCGAGAGGTTTGTGGGAGCCGTGCCAGGCACGGCGAAACTTCTCGCGCGGGACTGCTGCGACACGCGCCCGCCCACCAGCGCGCCCCCGCAGCCACGGCGCGCGGCAGGAGGGCCAGCCGTGAATCCCAAGGTGAACCAGCTTGGCATCGTCGAGCCAGGGCAGAGAGAGGCAGAGCCAAGACTCTGCTGAGGATCGCAGCCGCATCATATCCATTGGCCCATCATCACAGCAGCATGACGTGGAGTACTCAGCGCAGTCAATATTCCGCGCGCTCGAGACAGCCATCCAGACGAAGACAACAGTGGCAAGGGCACCAGCACGGACAGCAACGGTATCTTTGGGAGTGCCCTGCCTGTAATCATCACAACAAGTGGGATATCGCCAAGTGTGAGAAGTGCCACCCGGATCAGCCAGCGACTAAGCCAGCCACAGACCAACCTACAGCCTCCCTGCCGTGGAGACGCTCCAGCTCGCGCCGCCCAGCGGCGCACAGCAGCAACGCGGAGGAGGAGACCATTAATATCATGCCGTGCTCGCCGGAGGAGGCCCGCGCCCACAGGCGTTGGCAGGACCCCCCAGAGAGTCCGCAGGAGATTGGTTAGTACAGGAAGGCCCTAGGCTCCACACTAGAGGGCCTAGAGCGTCATATCAAATGTTCCCAGGAGCTCAAGATGGACGCATCGCAGGTACAGGCTCTACGACACGAGTACGTTGTGGTACTTTACCAGCTCATGTACTCGCGCACAGCCTCCGCCCGCACTGCCAAGCAGCTCAGCTTTGTCAGCCGAGCGAAGCGCAGGCTGACGGAGGCCACTTGACTCATGTGTTGCTCAGGTGCATGCACTACATGTCGAGGTGGCACACGCTGAAGACCTTCTCGAACATTTCAAGGACCTAGAGGACAATGAGAAGCAGGACAGTGAGCGCAAGCAGGCCGAGGCGCGCACCCAGATGACGCACACTCGTAAGCCTCGCGCAGCAGACTACATGGACGAAGACGACGAGGAATATTCCGACAGAGCTCCCCTTGCACCAGCAGGAGGAGCATCAAGGTCGCGTACGAAGTGGCCAGCTACCGCACGCTCCCCGAGCACACCAGCTGGTACACGATCTCCAAGTACGCCTACCACTCTGACATTAACACAAGCTGAGCGCGTTTGGCGCTCAGCAGAATATTCTGGCAGGCTCGCTCAGGTCCCCCCGTCAGCCTCCTCGCAGCAGCAAGCCGGTGTACATAATCCGACTCCAGATAACACAACGGAGGACCGCTCACCACAAGAGTAGGGCTTACCCGACTCAAACATTAAGTTAACTGCGCAGGCTCCCAAGAGGACCACAAGAGGAGCCCAGAGGTCGCCCATCCCCGATCTCCGACCTACCCAGGTGCTCATGGAAAGCAGGTGGCCTGTTCAGCCGTCTAGGGACCTCCTTCCGTGGGCCCCCTACTGGCACCCCTCTTCTGCTCAGGCCTTTTCCAGGACTCATCCAGTACGATCCCAACCTGAGGTTTACTCGGCTGGAAATCGACACGGATGCGACTGCAGGAGGATAGAAGCACAACGGACAGGTGTGCGGGCCAGCTTGGGCACCCTGCATCATGGCAGTCTCACTTGTAGGTG